TTATATGCCTTGCGAAGATCAATGGCTCGACTGACCAGCCTCTCTCGGAAGCCAAGTTGACGACCTCGCCGAATCCTGTAGGAAATGCCAGCACATATGACATCTACCCCATGGGGAGAGATCGTCTCTGTAGAGCCGCATGTGAGGTTAGCTAGCGATTGCGTGTAATCGTCGATAGGTCTGATCTTGGTCACTTTACCCTTGTCAACATCGGTGCTTGATTGCTTGATTCCGAACCGCCTGGTGACCACGGAGTCACTCGGTATCTCGGAGGATTTAAGGGGGCCTCGAAGCCAGCCCCGGTCCCTTTCCTCCAAGGTAAGCTTATGCACCGCAGTCAAGATTTCTAGATCTTTGCCATCATCACGCTGATGCAAAATTGCACTGCGAACCTCGGGAGTCAAGCTGCGAACCTCATCGATGGTGAGCAGCGCGTCCATATGCTTTTCGGGAAGAACTCCCGAGGCAGGGATCTGGCCAAGAAGATCGAAACCAGAGCACATAGTCTTGACTAGATCCTTGTCGGGGTAATTGGCAGCTTCAAGCATCTCTGCAAAAAGCGGCATGGATTTGTTCTTGAGAACATCACGGCAATGATCAGGCGTAGGAAATGGAGGCTCCAGATCCTTCAACTCGCAAGCTCGAAGAAGCCACTTCCTCATGGCCTGAGTGCGATCCTTGGCAATGTCAGCATAGGAGGTCGAGACTATCTTATCAACCACAACCTTAAGGGGGTCGGGCACGCCACACTCGAGGCGCTTGGGGTGTCCTTGTTTGAAGGCCTCCGAACGGAACTCGGTCGGGGACCAAGGGATTCCATAAGTGCGGTCAACCGAAGAAATAGAGGCAGCAGAGAGGTCCTGAGAGCCGCCCCCCGAGGTCGGGACCGAACGAATACACTTCGTGCCTGCTGGAAGCTTGTGATTGCAACCTTCCCACTGGGAGGCAAGCTTGCCTAGAGGAAGGACATCAGGGTCACCCTGTAAGGTAACAAGATTGCGAAACTCAGCGACCAGAGGTTTGAGGCGTTTGCCCTTGGGCTGCTTGCCCACCATAAGAGCAGCAGCTCGAGAAAGGCTGATGTGTTGATCTGGAAGGCACCTCGCGGGAGCCTGTGCACCTAAGTCGAAGAGCTGTTTGAGAAGGCATTCCACAAACGCAGCACAGAACAAAGGCGGGAGCACGAGTTTCGGTTCCAGTCTAGTGCAGTGCGAATGATTCTCAGAGCAGGAAACGCCTAGAGACGAGAGTCTACTGTAGCTGTGGAAGACACAAGTGGGCAGCTTCCAGCCAGCACCAAACATGCAGAGATCAAGTGATGTTTGATGAGCACACAGCTCAGCAAGAGTTGCAAGGAGATGTTGAGGCCACAGCTTCAAGTTAGCTGGCCCCGAAATGCTCCAAAGAATGCCCTCCTCACAACAGGCGCGAACAACAGCTTCTGCGGCCTTGATGGTCGAGGTTGCAGCTGCTTCTGAGTTGTGCCAAGCATGAATCGGCGGTGACAAGTGCACAGCAACAACAGGTTGCTGTTTCAGCATGCCCAACAGGAGCTGAAGGCCTGATGCACAAGACAAGTCAAGGGGAACCACGGGGCACTTGACACTCCCTTGAACCTTAAAATCAACCCCTTTGCCCGCAAGGCCAGCTTTGCGGACTGCAGCACATAGCCCGCCTTCGCGAGCGAAAACCTGGATAAAGACCATCGATTCCAAGCTTTTGCCAGCGACACGCTGGCCGACTTTCTGAAGATGTTGTGACTCTGGGTCCGACAGAACATGGAGCTTGGGAGCTGTGCAAGTTGAACACTCTGTAGCTGGGAGGCAGGCACCAACTGACACCAAGATTTGTCTGTCATGGGGCGAGAGCGCATGCAGCTGTGCAACAGTGAACCCCACCAAAATCAACCTAGTACCCCTCCATGGCATGGTACAGTGTCTGAGGCGCCAGGCATCAAAGATAACAGGCTTTCTGTGAACTGGCAGGAGTTCACCGGCAACGGTTTCCCCATCAATCTGCATGAGGTGTTTGCCCTCGGGATTTTCGATCCAAATTTGGCCTTGGTCAAACGTCGTGATGGGAAGAGCAGCATTAGGAAACTTCCCGTTCTTGCTGTCCTTGTGAACAGCAGTCAAGGCATCCTTGAAAAGAGCGATTGTGCTACACGAAAAATCAGGAAGAGCATGATGAAGAAATTGAAATAAAAGTGTTGTGGCAGCAGGAAAGGCCCTCGTGTTGTACCGAAGGCCTATGATGCCTCCTTTGGAGTAAGCACCTGTGATGAAGCTAGAACCCTGTGTGCCAAAGTCCTCAGTAGGCAGCAGGCCGAAAAGACGCTCCACGTCTGAACGACAAATGTCACCTTCTTTAGACAGACACTCGCAAGCAAAAGACTCGGCCTCGTGTGACACCAGGCAGGTCACCTCCTTGAGAGGAGGCGGCATAACTCTGTCGTCAACCTTTACAGGAGGCAGCGAAGAACGCGCAAAAGCATGTTGAGGATCACCAGTCACCCCTGACGAAGACAACACAGGACTGGAGCGGGATGCAACCCCAGCCCCTCTGAACCCTCACTCCGTGGAGCCTTCTGAAGTGCACTCGAACTGGGGATGAGCTTTCCCGCACTTCATACACGAGTGTAACCCGAAACGGCATGCCTTACCTGGCTTGGCGTGCTTGCAGCCTCGGTCCTTGATGTTGTAAGACCAACACATTCGCTTGCCCTTGCTCGTGGTGCGCAAGGGCATGTCCTTAAGGGCATCGGGGAGCTCAGGAGTTGACTTCTCCTTGCCCTCGGAATCTCGCTTGGTACCCCGGTCGCCCTTCTGGTCTTTACCCTTGCCGTTCCCTTTCCATGGCTTACGAGGGGGCTTGTCGTCGAGTTCCTGCAGCCTGGTTGGCAACAGATAAAAGGATATCGAACCCTCGGTTGGCAGGGTAGGAAAGGCAGCGTCGAGCGGCAAGGCCCCGGCAGAGGTCCTCTTGATGGAAGGAACGATCTCAGCAAGCTTTTGCCATGCCTGACGGTCAGCCCTGAGCACTTGCTCCGTCGAGATCCTCCTGAAGTTGGGTGGAGGTGATTCAGCAAGCCTGTCCATTAAAAATTTGTGCCAATTCTCTTGCGCCCTGAAAGTGATCACACCCATCAGGTCGCATGCAAGGCTGCGCCGAGTGAAGGCTTGGGAAAGCTGCAACTCATTCTGTATCTGCATGCGATGAAACGAAGACTTATCACGAACTGTGAGCTTTGAGGCATCAAGCACAATTTGGTTGCCCGGTCGCTCATGTGAGATCTCTTGCACACGTGTTATGAATTTATGTGGCTCCAAATAAAGGGCGAGTCAGCATCAATCATTGTGCCCACATAAGTGTAACACGAGTGCACGACCTCCATTGTGCCTGTGAGGTCGTAACCACACAGACGGGCCTTTTGTGCTGCAATCCGACTAGTACGCTCGGCTGGAGCGAGCTCGGAGCGCTTCTCACCATCTGTACCTTCTATGGCGAGCTTCACTTCGGCGATTGCAAGGGTCTGGCTCTCAAAGACAAGACGACGAATGGCAGCAAGAGACCCCACACTAACACCCTCAGGAGCAACCGGATCAAGAAGCCCTCTGAGTGCCGCCTCGGTGGGTGTGACACCCGGTGTGGAAACAGCATAAGCAGCACCTGAGAGTGTAGTGACGCCACGGGCCACTAGGGCATCATGCTCTGCCTCAGTCAGTCCACATTCCAATGCTCGCTCCTTGAAAGCGGCCTGGGACTTAAGAAGGCTTGCCATACCTGCGAGCAGTAAACGTTGCGGAGGGCAATCATGAGACCTTGCAAAGGCAGGCTAAGGTGCACACAGACAATTTGCACGCCCTGGAAGGTTGCCTCGGTCTTGATACCTTTTGGTCGCAGGCAAGCGACGTTGGAATCTAAATGGCAGGAAAATTGACTCAAAACCAGGCGATGCTTGTGCTCTATGCCACCCCGCGTCAGGCGGGGAACGTGGCTGCATCTCAAATGGTGCCTCAGGGATTCAAGAGGCCAAGGAATGAAGCCACACGGCAGTTACGACAACATCCTTGTGGGGACAGGACAAGTGCGGCGAGCACGGATGCACAAGCTCGCCAAGTGCGGGAAGCACAGAAGTACACATACGCCCTTCACCCCGAAAACGGGTGCAGCCACAGCCTTCACGAGGCCACGGTACGCGGCCGCTTTAAAGCAGAACGAAGGGCTTCATTTAGTGCCCCTATGTCACGGATGGGACGTCCGTTGAGGCACTGCTTACACCTCATGCCCGAGGTGCAAACCATTGACATGAAAACCTTGTGGTCAGCAGTAACCGAGCGACCACATACGAATTTCCACTCAGATGACCCTTTGGGAAGCATATGAACTGTGCGGGTTCTGCTGTGCTGGTACAACGTGCAGTCACCCTCAATCTTAGGTCGGAGGGCAGCATGATGCGCCCCGGCGAGCTGAAGATTCTCATCACCCGATGAATCGGAGTCGGAGATGCTCTCACTGCTGTCTGAGTCCGAGGCCGAGGAGGAATCGTTCTCACGCCCCTGGGCATCAGCATTCGCTTCTTCTTCTTCTTTTCCTGAACAGTTCTCGCGCTGGGCCTCCTTTGTAGCGTCAGGCTGGAAATCGGGCACTGGCAATGAGGCTTCAAAGGCATCGGACACAGGGGAGCCTATGCCCCCGGGGTCATCATTGTCGAAGGAAACCTTCTGGAATGAATCAGGTTCCTCAGATTCACAAGAGTCAGCAGCTGCACGCCGATACCACTCCGCTTCACTGGAGGCTCCAGGCTCGGCCGCCTTAGAAAGCTCCTCATTGGGGCGCTCCGTGTCATGACCTAGGCCAATGAATCTGCCGGACCTGGTACAATCAGGAAGGAAGCACTTGGACCGAATGTCGCCGAGCATGCGGTCTAAAACTCTCAATGGACCAGCCTGAAAGTCGCGACTATATGTAGCCATGCTCTTGCGATCCTTCGAAACATGATGTCCAAGAGTTGTGCGATCATCTGGAGGGCCTCCCCACTTGGCGAGCCAAGAGAGGACTGTAGTCTTTGCACTGTGGCCTGTAAAGGTGTCGCTCCTCAGGATGCCCCTAACCCAGCGCACCAGGTGTGATGACTTCATGGGGCGCGACTGAAAATCTCCATTCACATCCAAGGCAGGGACCGAAGGCTCACCGAGTCGGATTTCAGTGAGAGGTCGCCTGACATCCTTGGCAGCCTGAACAAAGTGGGTGCCCCAAGTTCCTGGCCCGATGCCTCGGATCGGGCTGACCAGCTTAAGCTGAAAGCCCTGAGCATTGCTCGTCATTCGAGTCTTATGCGAGAACGATGTTGTCTCGAGAAACCCAAAAGCGTCGGGGCCCTCTAGGTAATCGAGCTCGAAGGCTTCAACAGCTTTGAGGTCCCCCAGCCGCGCCACTGAATAGATTGCAAAGAGGAGGCATCCAACCCCGTAGCGATCAATGGCAGACTGAGAATAGTCAGCAACAAACTCTTCCAGTGCTAATACTTCGGAGGCAAGGAAGGGCCGCGCTTGCTTCTTTGGAGGCCGATAAAGAGCCTCCCTCCTGGCACGACCTCGAAGAACAGGATGATCGAGGCACGGAGGAATCACATCCACGCCCAAGACGAAATGCAAGAATCTGAAAATCTCCAAAGCATTGGTGACTCTCATCGCTCCCTTTGATGCTGGCAAACATGCAGTATACTCAGAGACATATTCAAAGCGCAGAGGGAAACCCTTAAGCCCATTGTCCTGGCACCACAAAACATAATGCGAAGCTTGATGGTATCTCTTTCGCAGAGTGCTCACAGCACGGCCTCCGAGAGAGTCGATGATAACATCCAGGCGATCCTGAGTGTCGAGGTCCCTGACAGTACGCCCCACGACTGAAGCATTGTAGTCGTGGGCTAGGACAAGATCAAACTTCTGACACACCAAAGTGATCTGCTCATTGACACTCAGCTTGGAGCGAACCCTCCAGGTTTCCTTCTCGACCACAGCACGATAAAATGCAGTGAGGGAAACTTCAGTCACTGCAGATTTTGCGGTCTGGACCGCACCGTCAAAAGTGGCTGCAGAAGACATGGGCAAATCCAGCGGAACCTCCACAGAAGGTATTGTGGCCGAATCTTTACTGCCCCCAAGAATTTCCTTGTAGACACCATGCTCCCAGGGGAAACTCAAGCTTGCAGCACCAGCCTGTGTGCCGTTCTTCGAGAACAGCACGATCAAGCAAATCTTTGTAAAGAGACATATCGCAGCTGCAGTCGGAGTTCAAGAGCTAGGGTGGTGAGCGAATCCACAATGAACTGCAACAACCTGTCGAGGCGGCCTTTCAGGAATCGAAGCTTGCTTTCTAAAGCTGCCAGCAGATTACGGCCTGCAACCAGCTCTTCTTCAAGAAGAGCAACTCTCGAATGCAGCCGAGTGATTTCTGCCTTTAATGCCTCGTTTCCTTAGCCTGGTCCGCAGAAGGTGAGGCACCGACAAGGGCCATAGCAGACCCACCCCCCGACCGAAAAGAAGAAGGAAAAACTTGTGCCAAAATGGCCACATGATAAAACATGAGTTCGGAAAGAACGAAATGCCAAGTTGGTCACATGAAGGTTCATGGTTCTGGCAAAGAACATGTATAAAAGAAATGTTTGCAAATTTTGGGGAAACCAAAATTTCATAAACCCGGGAATAAAAACTCATCCGACCTTTGGTTGGAGTTCCGTCTTTCGTCCGAAAAGAGCCAAAGGTGGCATGGGGGTAGAAACCGCTTGGAGCTACACTCCTGACACATCCACCATCTAGAACACGTGGTCACCCGCAGTGACACACGGCATGGTATGTTCGCACCCACATGCGACCCTGGGTGAGTGGATGGGTGGGAAAATTGCCTTTGCTCCCTCCGAGCCACAGCTTTGAGATACAACATGTTCACGACTCGCAACAATACTGCACGCACTTCCGGAAACTGCTCTCGAAAATGGCCGACAACCAAAAATCAAAACCATATTTCTCCCATACGAACGAAATAAAGTGGCAACCGCTGGCGATATGATCACTTACTCCAATTGTGATGGATGATGGAAAGTGCATTGCCGTCTATGTTGCACAGAGTATCTCATTCGATCAATCGTATATATTTCACGAAAAATCAGAAGGTAAATGCATTCGGAGTCATATAATTTGAAATAACACTACATGCAATCACTCCCAAACTTCCAAAATTTAAGTCGCACTCCTTCTTTATACTTCCGAAGAAGGCACGGGGTTGGAAACAGTTTGGATTTACACTCCTGACACATCTACCATGTAAACACATGGTCAGCTGCGGTGAAACAAAGCATCGTATCTTCGCACCCGCATCTGACTCTCGCCTCATAAAAGTGCGGACTCTTACAAAAGAAACGTCTAAAAAAAAAATCTCTAGATGCCACAACGAATCCATGTTCCCTTCTGCATGGAGGATCATCTTTTCATTCATTTAGTCGCTGCACGAGAGTCTTGCGCCAGCGGGCGTGAGTCTTTCGGCTCACAAGCACAGTATTGGTCCCACCGGAAGTAAACCAAGGAGCCCTTTTTAGCTTCTGCTTCAGTTGATTCTACAGTAGGCGACAACATAAGCATGGTTCAAATTTGTGTGAGATTGGCAGGCTTGGCTGGCACAAATGATATGATATCGTCATGCATGTGACTTGCTGCGCAGTGAGTTCCGGACCTAGATAGTAAAGGCACGGTAGTGTCGGTGCGCGCCAGAGCCATAGGAGGCATTTCTAGTTGTTGGCATTTGAACAAATTACTTCTCAACTTGCGGATCTATCGTTTGCAAAGCAAAAGGCAAGTCATTTTTTGGAAGATTTTCGCGCATGCCATCGCACAAAGAGGAAGTCCAAAAATTTGGATTTCTCAAATCACAGAGAGTGGACAAGATGATGATGGACCTATCTTCTTGGAAGAGCTGCAAGGTGCCCATGTGGGCACAATGGTGAACCTCGGTTTGCAAAGGTTCGATCTGCCATGCAGACGGACTCGACTTCCAAGCGTATGGAAAGTCCCATTTGTTTTGGATAGGTGTCTTTTACTACGACTTCGGTTTCTTAAAGTTGGCTCACACCACCGTAAACACAAGTCTCCAAAGCTCGCCAAGACTTCAACGTGGAGGTTTGGAACGGCCGTGGCTGGGTGATAGAGGAGCCTTC